CTACTTTGAACGCCCGACTCCGTACGTGCAGAACACGTGACCAGAAAGCTCTCTGGTCTGTGCCCATCACGTGATCCTGCCCCAGCACTGATCTCCGGTCCTCTTTAACAAGACATAATACCCCATTCAAGCCACCGCCCAATGTCTGGATACACTCAAATCCAGCCCGACGTATGTACTTTGAACTAACAGCAAACACATCCAAGCTCAATTATTTACTAACTGCCTCAGTCCATAGAGCCTGACTCGCCGCAGCTCGCCCAGCCCAATGGTACGTATTAATAAAGGCCACCGAGGCTCCATTACAAAGCACAAAATCAGTGTATTCAGACCACTAATTTCCAGAAACAACCTCCGGCAGCATCCAGGAGCCACAGACCACGACGTCAAAACCAGCTGGCAGCGGTGGGCTTCGCCAGGTCAGTTTTTATAGCCGTTTTTTCGACATTAGTACCGAGGAATTCCTCGGCAAGATTGTGTTGGCCATGAATCCTTTCAACAACGCGTCCGTAGTCCTGACGCAGGCAGAAGACGGACCCACAGAGCTATACGGGTTTTTATGGATCAACGCCACTGTTGTGGTTCTTATGTTTGTTTCGGCCACAGGGTCCAACTTGCTTGCGGAATGGCTTCATGCCTCCAAAGACACGGAAAAATACAACTACAACTTCCAGCTCCTCACGCTTTCGATCTCTGTTTTTTACGGGTACACGGCTCTTGTGCCCACGGCATTGTATGTGATCACCCGGTGGGCTTTGACGTTTCCACACTGCCTCCCATTGACCAGGCTAGTGTCTATTTATAGCTACGCCAATGTGCTCTGGATCCCCACAACCGCAGCCAACATGATCTTGGCCGTCTTCATCAGCAAATCCACGCATCACGTGATCTTGAACGTCGCCCAGTGGGCCTTGGTGGCCGCCAGCGCCCTCCTCTCGGGGCTCAGCATAGCATTGAAAGTGCGCCCAATCCTTATACACGGGATTTCTGAATCCGGCAGGGCCGAGGAAAACACAGTGCAGAACCAGCACCGATTTTTGCTTATATCGCTCGTATTGGCACATTTGGCCTTTGCCGTGGTGATCAAATTCCTGTTTTTCGGGATTGCTTAGGGGCGTGTTCCCTGGGTCTATGGGAGGGAGGGTCTACCGGAAAACGGTTCTCGCTAATATCTAATTTAATAAGATATTGCAATATGTGTGGGCTGAAAGATGTAGTAGTTTGTTCATGGGGCTATATACGGAATGATTGGCAAAAGACACGTTCGTCATTGCTGCCGGTATTGAGCCAAAGTATATACGTAAACTCCGCGCCGTTTATGCTGATCACGTGTCACCGGAAGAAGACATACGTAGTCAAACGTTCGCCACCGTTTTCGGCACTAATTCGATGGCTCTTATTGTGTAGCGTTCTATTGCACCCATGCCGGCAAAGTTACCGAGCCCTAATTGTACTGCACACAGGAAAGGCTATATAAGTGGCGCGCTCGCTTCTCGGAAAATTTTTCCCTCCCATGTCACATTGTGTGGAAATCAATGAACGGTATGTGGTTTCAATCAATCAGACAACGAAGATTATTTGCACTATACCAATTGTTCCAACTGAATTCTCCGGGTTGACAAATGCATTATCGTTAAGTTTCAGCCTTGTATGAGTTGTCTGCTTTTTGCTCACAGTATTGTCGTACTAACAATGTAAGGTATGTCTAGACTTCTTTCTAGCAATATGAGGATACTCGTGACCGGGCGGACATAGTCAACCCTCGGCCCCCCTTTCTTGTACAATTAGGGAAGGAGCAGTGTTTCTGTGTACAATTTTTGAGGCACTGGGGCTGAGGAGGTGATGATAGGTCTTTCGCTGATTGCTGAACACAACTGAATTGTCAGTTTCGATTTTTAACTCGGCTTCTAACAACGTAGGGCTCAACTCCATTTATTGATTTTGACATGGTGTCGCATATTTTTCTATGATGATCTTTTTATATTCACACTGTACTAGAAGTTCTGCTTCCGTGACTACACAACAAAAAAACTGATTTAATGAATCTGATGAGAAATGTGCGACACTAGCTAAGATCACTTGTATTTTTTGTTTCTCGCTTTATTGTTTTGAGGAACCTGTGGAGTATGGTATATGACGTGGAGCCAATGGCGACACGCTTTGTAGCAAACTGCCGATCAACTTTGGGACAGTGAATTGGCTCAAAATTCACGTTTAGATGGTTTTCGTGAAACATGCCTTCATGTTGATTTAAATCTCGTATTGAAAAGCGTATTCGTGGGCTATTTCGGACGTATACCTGGCGTGACTGTCCTCTAATTCTCTGACTTGGTTCCCTTTTGTCTGTCCGAATCCGATAAAGTAGACTTTTCTTTTTGCCCTCTGGTATACGTATTATCTCGTTGAAACAGTGGTTGATCTTAGTACTCATGAAGGCTTCATCAAGAACTTCTCCCACCTCGTCTCCTCGATGATTATAAATGCGGTAGGGAAGTATTCTCAATCCTTTTGAAGCATTAGTTTTTGCAACAATCTCCGTCCTTTTGAAAGTCCATAGCGCTGTGCATACCCGGAAAAGAGACACGGACTCATATTGTTTTATATGAGCAGCTTGGTAAATAATGTCAAGCGGGCGACAGTATAGAAAGACTAGCTGGTACCGTTCAATTAACCCTCTTTCCCTTTGATTCAAAAACACGAATACTTTGATTCCACAGCAATTCGGGTTCGAAAAACCTGGAGATTGTTAGTTTAAGGGTGAACACTCACAGGTATTACCACACCATAGTTCACGATCAAATGACTGTTGCCCACTTGTAATGTTTTGGGCGATGGTATGAGGAATTTGTAATGTAAAGCGGTCAGTTGCTAATACAATTGCACCAGTGAAATGCTCAAATGAGCCTAACATGCGTTCAGTCGACCAATAGGGCATTGATCTACATGAAATGTCGTACTGCCATAAGCGATACTCTCAACAAAGGACACAAAATCTTGATCCACGATTATCCGATGGTGCAGTTTAGTTTGGAATCCAGCTACACTATAATTGGGTCAAGAACTCTCAGTTTTGGAATACTTAATCATTGACGCATGGAAAGACGAGTTATAGGCCCTTCAACAATTGCCGTATGTTATATTGGCTTGGTTTTAGGGGTTCTCTGTTGATTCGCCTTAGCTCATTTTACGATTCTCAGCGTCGCCTTTCATCTCTCAGGTATAATGCCTAACTTCACAGTATGCTGTATGACAAAACAATTGGCATTTCTTCAGAACATAATTCTGATAAACCACTTTCTTTCAATGTCATAGGTATGCTAATGCCTTTGATTTGACTTTTAACTATTCTCTTGCCTACTAATAAGGTGATTTATATCAGGACTCGAGGCTCGTGGGCATGGATGAATAGTTTCTAAGCTTAAATTACAAGAATCTATCTACACAAGACCAGCTCCATAACCATACACCCAAGTTTTGTTCCAAAACTTGGGAATCTTATGATCTCGGTATCTGTATGTTGCATGGATAGCGGTATCATACAATAGTAAAAAATGCTTTGAGTTTTTCAACAAAACCGCAGGTCTTTGTCCCTTAGATCTGTAGCTCAAAATATTCCATCCATCAACTGCATGTCTCAGTGAAAGTGCCGCCTTTTTGAGCCATTTCATTCGTTTATATGAGCTTTCCATATGAGTACAACCACATTTTGCTAGATATTGCATTTTTCCTGATGCTCCGAGAGCAGTAGATTGGGAAAGCCTTTGAGACCAGATATGTTTTAAGAGTTTTGGGTTTTTTTTGTTGTCTGTCTTACTCATTAGTTGAATGTATTCCAGTGAACGCAAACTACTGAGGCTCATTGTTGGTTCCTTCGCAAAAACACTTATCCATTCATTGAAACAAGTGAATTATCTGTGGATTTCTTAGAATTTGTTTTTCTACCTTGTCAGGTATAAGATTCCCTACTTTGTATCCCACGCCTGTGCATGATGATTAACTTCAAAATCAACACAACAAAGTCTAAAATTCATATGAAAATTAACCGAACATATTTCATTCCTTCTTTTTGCCAAATATTGCTGAAAACTAGCTAAAGAGACGACCGTATGATCCTGTATTTCCTTGTTTCGCCTGATGGGACGAAATAGGTATGTCTAAGCAAAAATTTTATTCGCAATGTGGCCGTGCATCATAGTATGTGACGTTCAAGGAGGAATTGTGTCTTTCTGAAAAATTGGCCAGGATCTGCAGTGGAATACATACAAGTACTAAATAAATCAAAATGCTTCCCAATTTAACAACTACTTCTCTGTTTGTTCACTGATAGCTTCTTGAGATCTAGAAGGGGTCATGTCTTGTGATATTAAAGTCTTGTGTGGCGCATTAAATATACATAACACTAGGGAGATTTAAAAAGAAACTCTCGGCCCTGTCAACACGTAGAGTATATACTCCTTGGTTAATTCTGCGAATCCGAGCCCATTGTGGAAGTAGTTTTTTTTCTCGAAAGAAATCAAATGAGTTTGGACCCACCTGTCTTACTGATGACTGGTAGAATATAGGGCTGCGTAATAAAACCGCTTAAATCAAGAAACGGGGGTAAAGTCAGATCTGAGACGCCAATTCTCGTGAACAAAATTTAAAGTCACAAAAAATTTTCCCGGTGAGTGCCAATATTGAGTATTTTGACACTTCATGGCTCGTTTGTTATTACTATTTCCTTGTTTCATAAACACCGAGAAAGTTGAGTCCAGTGTTTCAAGTGCTTTTATTTGAAAAGCTCAGTATCTGTCAGAAATTAGGAAAAAATAGATGCCAGATGGTAAGCAGACCACGATCTCTCGCGGGGTAAAAACAATCTAGCGTCAAAAAAGCCCCCGGAATAATTCTTTGCTTTCATCGCTGAATCCCCCTGTATCTCCTTATCTTTTGGATATATTGACTGATAACATCGGACAAACTCGTGATTTATTTTCTGCAAGAAACTAGCTATGAATCAAAATCTTAAGTCACAGTTCATTTTTCGGATCGGCCCATACTAACGGAAATTTCAAAAGTTTTGGAATAATCCATAACCCTTCCGAAATTGAGTAGAGTTTGTTTTCCATTGACTCGCGACATCTGGAATAGACTCATGGTTTATTCATAGCATCAGTATTGGAATCATGGTTATCTCGCGTAACAATTTGACTCATGACTAGTTTTTATCATCCACAACAGACTCATAAGCCATTGCCAAAATATTTACTTGCCTCGCAGAATGCAGACATAAATAACCCACAAATCTTGCAGCTGTCCAGAAACAATTCGCAGAACTGGCAAAATATTGATAATGCACTTGAGAAATGCGCAATGGTCTCAGTCTCTTGATATCTTCCAGGATTTACAACAGGCTCCCATCTCATTGGTAGAGCTTGCACTAGACTAAGAATCATCGAAGGTTTCACAAAGAGCCGCCAGAAATTATTACAATCTCCCGAATCTGCAATGGACTCGCAACAACTTTGACTATATCATCTCTCATAATGGATTTTTGTTATCAAAACCTTCACAATTAGCTTGTCTGATACTATCTGAGACAATTATTCCTGAATTGACACAGAATGTTTTTTAGTTGAAAATTAAACAACTTGCTGCGGCAAGGATGCTTTATACGAACCAGGAATTTTCTGGGGACAAGCTTTGGGAATCATACTGCAAGAATCTTGAGAAATTGGTATCAGTGCGTGTCTTTTCAAACAAACTCGTCGAAATTCTTGCATGAAGAGTGAATGGAGCGCTTGGCAACAGAGCACATTGTAGAGAATTTGATTAGATAGTTGAATGGGGTGACTTGATAATTAAATCACTAGCTCTGGCTATTTGATGTGAGAAGATCCTTCGCGAAAGTATGGCTTTTGTCATGAACAGTTTTTTTTTTGGCACTCAGTTGTCAGACTGAAATTACTGAATATTACAATCTTCACAACCAATTGATAACATTGAGATACTACACATCTAACAATGGGCTCACAATTATAAAACCTCTTGATGGACTCCGACTGTTACACCTCTCATGATAGACTCGCGATTACAACGTTCATAATATATTTCGACTCTAGAGCTGACCCCACTACCATTTTATAGATCCCCCGCAAATAATTCAGGTTGTAAGACTTCAGCTTTGACAGAGAGAAACAAATCCTGATATCATCTCTCCCCAGATAAAAAATGAAGCTCATCATAGAGCTCAGTCAGATGTAATACCTCAATCTGCGCCAGAGTATTTGCCACATTTTCCGTTGGTCCATCAGGTAAAAGAGACATCGATGTCTCTCTGCAATATTTTTCAACTTCAAAATAATCTTTGGTTTAGCAGGGACTGAACAGAAAATGGATCGTGGACCTGCTCATAGCAAACTCGACTATTTCCCATTCATGATAAACTCCGATTATTAGACATTTCATAATATACTCCAACAAATACATCTCTCGTATTGGGCCTAGCTGGTACAGCCGGTACCTTAGAAAACCAATGCTTCATCACATGAATAACATTGTATCTAACAACGAATTGACTACGACCTATATCCAGTTCCGAATGGCATAACTCCTTGCTCGAGAAAAGCGGAAAATTTTTTACACACTTTGGTTGGGTTCTCACAAAATACAAAATCGCTTATTTCGAAGCGTGGAAAGAATCGCCTTTAGGAAAAGGGCCATACCGACATCTGGAGATAGGTCAAGATACAATGATGAGCAGATCAGAAAAATGCTAGTATAGACTCCACGACTCGAACAAGCAGGGAAGAAAGCCATTAGCAAGAAGACTTTCAAATCCTCGAGCCGCAAAAATCAAGAAAAGCAACTCTCGATAATTTTGTTCGCCCCCGCAGATGAATGGTGGAAACACTTCTGGAAAGCCTTATATGGGGCAGAATGGTTGAAGCGATACGAGCTATCGTCCATTCATCACTTCAGTTGGGGATCATATGTAGCCATGCGAAACCTTGGGTTTCCAATGTCATTTTTGCACATACAAAATCCACAACAACGGAGACGCTTTTCTGATTCAACTCTATAACAACTGTGAAAGATGTGTCTACAATATTTGTGAGACATCCAAATTCTGGTAAAAGAGCTTTTTGCCAAGCCCACGAGTTTGAACGAAATGTTGGCTCCGGCCAACAACTCTTTGCAGAACTTGAAAAATTGAATTGGGTCGTCACGATTTTCAGCGTATACACCCGAAGGGCACAGGCAGTCAGCTCCTTAAGTCCTCTCCAGCCATTTGAGTTGAAGCGACTACTACAAGAGACTTATCCTTGGAGTCGATGACCTTCTATCTAATGCGTAAATAGATACGGGCCAAGAGGACCGTCCAAGCTGTTATTACGGAAAGGGCGGGCGGAGTTTCGATACTTGATAAGTATGAGCTGTTTGAAGGTTTTACAATATTTGTATATTTTTTCTCATTAGATTTCGATTATTACACCATAATGGACTCAGCCATCATACTTTTCATAACAAACATCAGTTATTACACTTCTCATAATGACTTTCGCTATTTCATCTCTCGTGATAGACTTTGGCTGTTTTACTTCTCGTAATAGATTCGCAGGTATTGCAACTCATAATAGATTCGCAATTACTGCATCTCTCATGATGAGCTCCAACTATTACACCTCTTATTTATCAAGCATATAATATTAGACTCCAACTATTACACCTCTCATGTATCAAACCTATCATAATACACCCCAACCACTGCACCGCTCATACTAGATTCGCGATTACTGCACCCTTAATTATCACAACTCTCATTAGACTCCAACTATTAAGCCTATCATACTAGACTTTTAATATTACACCTCTCCTAATGACTTTGGCTACTTCATCTTTCGTGATAAACTTGACAATTACACCTCTCATAATACACTCCAACTAATACATCTCTCATAACAGATTTGCAATTACTGCACCTCTCATGATAAAGTGCAATCATCACAACTCTCACATACACCCCAACTATTACACCTTTCATATACACCCCAACCACTACACCTCTCATATACACCCCAACCATTACACCTCTCATCTATCAAACCTATCATAATACACTCCAACAATTACACCTCTCATCTATCAAACCTATCATAATACACTCCAACAATTACACCTCTCATCTATCAAGCCTATCATATTAGACTCCAACTATTACACCTCTCATGTATCAAGCCTATCATATTAGACTCCAACTATTACACCTCTCAGATATCAAA